ATTATGAAAGTTACTTCTGAAGTACGGAAACAGCGCTCAAGGAACAATGTTATTGTCAAAAATCCGGTTACTTCCCTTCAACGAGTTTACCCTTGCCTGTTGTGTGTGAGCGCCCGCGGGTGTGTGTACGGGCGCGTCCTGTATTAAGGATGTATGACGCTTAGAGTCATTTACACTAAGCACATCTTTCAGCTAAAAAAAAAAAAAAAAGGCTCAGTTGAAGGAAATAAAGTTATATCACAAAGTTTTTTTTTTTTTCTGGTGATACACAGTACTTGACCCTCTTTTCAAATATGCATTACCCCCACCCCCCGCCCTCCGCCCCCCCTCTCCCCCAACAAAAGATGTTTGTGCTGAGTTCCTGCACATTCTTACACACTTTATGGTGAGTACCGGCATTTTTTGTTCTGAGGGGAAGAAAAGCTCCGGTTTCAAACAACGGAACGCATTGCGCTGGTTTCAACAGTGGTATCGACAGCCGACCGTTTAGCGCAGTGGCAAACTAAAACTGCCAATTAGTGCCTTTGTAATACCACTTTTGTGGGGTCTAAAAGACATTGAGGATTTTATTTTGCCCCGACAGAAAAAAATTCCCAGCCTTACCGAGGATTCAGACCCGGGTCTCAGCCAGCCGCTCCTAAGTGGCAAACCACTGCACGTAAAATTTACCTACAAAAACCACAACAGCCAAAAAATGCTGAGGTTGGTTCTGCAACGTCCTGTAAAAGATACACAACTAACTAACTTTACTGTCACTATGTACTCAATAGGTACTTACCTTATTTACTTTCACTCTCTATTAAACTCTGTCATTTATTAGTTTTCGTTGGTACATTTGCGTCTTTCTAAACTATACATTTGTATTTTCATACTAAATAGCGATGGCGAATATAACTAGCCAAACCTGCTCGCGTAAAGAAAACATCTTCAACATCAAGTGCCCGAGATATCGGGACCATTGTTTCCATCGCATCGCCAACACTGATACCAAGAATGTTTGTTTGTTTGAAAAAAAAAAAAAAAAAAAAATCCAAATTTAGTCCTTTTTTAACTGCCTGATGGCCTGTTTTTTCAAGGACGAGTCATTTGCTATCTGAGCTGGATTTTTTTTTACTTTTGTGGCGATGGTTTTCGCCTGAGTTTTCTTTCATTGGTTGCAACTTGTTAGCAGCGTGGGCTTGGCGGGCGGCTTGCAGGTTTAGGGAGTGGACATGGCTGTCCTGAAAAGGACAGCCATATGTGCCTGGGTGGCCTGGAACGGGATGGGTGGGGTCTGGCTTCTGCTGTCAGGTTCTGGTGGTGCCTGGTTGGGCTTGCGCGGGTGAGTTTTCTGGTCCGGTGAGCTGGGTTTGGTTTTGGGTTTGGTCGGTGTCATGGCGGCTTTGGTCAGTTCTGGTTGGCTAATGGCTTCTTGATTCGGGCTGGTCCATCTGCTGGGTTGTTTGTGGGCGGTTTATCTGGTTTAATATTGGCGGCGTCTGTTCGGTGTTCCCTGCATCCTTTGATTTCTTTTGGTCGCTTTTATCCTTTCATAGGCTTCTTCTACCTGTTCCAAGAATCGGTTTAATTTTGCGACGGAGGCTCTGCTTTTTTCATCGGCTTAGAGTGTACCGTTTGAAAACATCTCTCGGTCAAATTGGGTGCAGTAGCGGCCTTGCTCAAATACGATCTTGTGCGGGGGAGCTTGTTCATTGTTGATTTCTACTAACTTTCTTAGGCCGGCCTCACCTATGTCCTTAGGGATTACAATTTCTTGTGCCTCGGAACATATTGTGGTCTCCTCTGCGGTCGGGATGGCTTCTGTGGTGCTGCTTTGGTCCATGGTGCGTGTTGTTTCTGCGGACTGTGCTACTTTGCTCTCATCTGATTGGGTCTGGTCTTCTTCCCTCTGCACATTCTGTTCATCTTCCAGGGTTACAGTTCGTTTTGTTTTCTGGTGGTTTTCGACGGATTGCATTTTCCTTTCCGCTTCTTTCTTTGCGTTCTCCCTGGCGTCCATCACTTTGTTGGTGGCTTGTAGTGCGGCGCTCAGTTTGGTGCATTCTTCCTTGGTCTTTGTTAGCTCTGCTTTTCCTGCTATCAGTTCGTTCTTGATGGTAATGATTTCTGATTTTAGTTTTGTTTGGTCATCTTGCAGTTGTTTGGCGGCTGCGGCGTCTGCTTCTTTCATTTTCTTGAGTTCTGTCAGCATCGCCATTAGTTCGTTCTTGAACGCCATCATCTCGACATTCTCTTTTTCCAGTCTTCTCTGTGCTTCAAGGGATGACTGCAGGATTCCTCTCAGGTCTGTCATGTCGTCCCGTTCTTGGTCCCTTTGCTTCCTGATTATTGTGTACGCTTTCTTGAGGTTCTGGATTTCCTCCTTTAGCAGCAGAATTTCCTTACTGATTGTGTGGGATTCGACTGTCGGCCGGGGCTGCTCAGCTCTGCGTCGATACTCTTGGTTAGAGGCGGTCCTGGTGGGGGTGTACATCTTGGCCCTCTTGATATCCTTCAAGTACGGGCATCCCTGGTACCTGGCGCTGTGGCTCCCTGAGCAGTTGGAGCATTTTCGATTGTTGTTAGGCTTCTTAAAGTCCTGATCCGTTTTAGCAAGGCTGCACTCCTTAAAATCCTGCGGGCCAGCGCAGTACCGGCAAATTGGGCTGCTGCGGCAGGTCGCGGCGGTATGCCACGCCCGGTTACAGCGCGAACACTGCGTGACTGGCATCTGGCTAGAGACAACTTCAACCGGTGCTTGCGCCTCGACTGGGTCCTCTAGAGTCGGCATCATCTTCTCTGGTGAGGTCGGTTCCACGGTGGGTGCGGTAATTTCGTTCACTGAGGTAGAGCGGGTGCTACGGTCTGGCTGCTGCTTCCTCTGATTGTTTTTGCCCCGGGCCATAATTGTTGTGGCTGTGGCTGGCAAAAGTTGTGCTTTTCTGGCGGCTATCGAAAGCTCGATTCCTGCAGAGTCTGGCAAGGCTCGTTAAGTGAACTGAAAAGTACACCGAGCGTGCTTTTCTCTGCAGTTCACGAGACGATCGTTTCACAAGTGGCTGGTGCGACTGGCTCTTAAACAATGATGTGCTCCTGGGCTGCTTATAACCCACCCGCAGACGACACCGATAGCGTAGTCGAGCCAAACTCAGCCAAAAATCTAGCGAGTATTGACCAGTATCTAGCTATCGATAATCAGGCTGCGAATTGATGGTTAGCGAGCGAACGAGAGACACATCGGGCGGTTTGAGCGAGCGATCGAGAGCTGTGTGCGACTGGGCTGTCTGCGCTGGAATGTGCTGATGAATACCAAGAACTGTAAAACTTTTCTTTTATAACTGAGGTATAGGGTCTCAGCAGCCAAGCCGTTTGCTCTCGCTCCAAAGGTCGTGTGTTCGTTTCACATGCCTTTCGTTCATTTCACGTGTACAGTTTTTAATGGAGGTCCCTGGGATTAACGCAGCTGCTACGGAGTTCGTGCTTTAGGATACGCTCTCGGCCAGCCGCCCTGTACAGGGACTGCGCCATATTATGGATGTAACCCGATTCAATAAAGTCGATCCTCTAGACTTTAATGGTAACATGAACACGGTAACTATGGGCAGAGTTAAGGCATCAAAAAAAAAAAAAAACCTTTGAGTTCTGGGGTGCCATTGTGGGGTGGGCAGGTGGGGAGACAAAAACAGAACCCCGCCAACAAACATGTCATAACATTCGACTAATTGTGGGCTTCCTACGAAGGCGGAGTGCATCTGCATGAGAGGCGGGGAACCAACAATCTGCATTCAAATAAGTCGGATCTGTAAAACCGATGTGCGAGCAACACCCAAGTTCTGGAAAACAAGATTAAAAGTCCAGAGGTGGACGAACAACCAGAACTTTCCGCCGCAGTTTTCTGCTAATGAACGCCAGAAGAAGAAGAAGCCATTAAAAACAAACACAGGCAAGTTTCTCACTTTTATTACAAAGAAACACACAAGTAACTAGCAGGAGCATACATTTAGTCATTCAAACAAATAAATAAATAATTATTGAACATATGCGTTCAATTTATCCCACTTGGAAATGTGTGAAAGGATGGGAGGGGGGGGGGGCGGGGGTAGACAGAAATAGAAAGACTGACAGATGAGATGATGACAGAGGACAGAGACAGCTAGATGTGTAAATAAACACTCATTACATAGAAGCGTGCACGCAAACACCTACACATAACGTACGTACATACAGACAAGATATAAAGTTAGGCAAACAGAGAGACAGACAGGGAGACCTCTAAAACACCATGCAGCAATGCACTGTGTTCATCCTGCGTGTATACAGCCTCACGTATGTACTAATAGTCATTTTTTTTAAATACAGACATCGTTCCATGTCAAGTTACACAATAAATAAATAACACATTGAAGAGACAGATATCAATAAACAGGCAGGCAGACCTGTAAAAACTTCAACTATCACAAGACAGGCAGCCATCTATACTGACAGATAAACGGTTGATAGACTGGCACCAGCGCGCGCGCGAACACACACACACACACGCACATATATTCCAGTACAACAGAATTATCATCATGTAGTTAAAGTCTAACACAGATGTGAAAGCTACGGTATAGACACATGTAAACAAGGCCAAAAAACACTGGAGAAACAAAACTAGTTTTCCTTGTCTGGTAATCAATATTTACCTGAAAGGTATCACCATTACATAAAGTGGACACTCATTTCACTGTGGAGATGCATGCACCTCAGAGACTGGACAACAATTTTACCCTGATTTTGTATTCAAGTTCTAGAGTGGGCAATAATTTTATCCAGAGTTTGTCATCAAATCTTAGAGTGGGTGATAATTTGATCATTATTTTATATTCAAGTTTTGGAGTGGGTGATAATTTTATCCCAATATTTTTTATCCAAGTCTTAGAGAGGGCAGCAATTTTACTTGGGGTGGGGGTGGGGGGGGGGGGTTATTTAAGTATTAGAGTGGACGATAATTGTATCCTGGGATTGTATTGAAGTCTTAGAGTGTGTTGTGTACACAGCCAAGCAGTGCTACAACAATGCATTGGTAATTAACACTGCCTCAGTCTCCAACAAAGAACATTTGGCCATCTGTTCTGTCTCCTGTCTTCCACACAGGAGACCATACTGTCTATATACTTTAAGATCATGCTATCTGTATAGTCTCCAACACATATTATTGGGGCATTCATACTGTCTCAAAGTCTCCCACACATACTACGTCACCATCTATACTGTCTAAAAGTCTCCCACACATACTACGTCACCATCTATACTGTCTAAAAGTCTCCCACACATACTACGTCACCATCTATACTGTCTCAAAGTCTCCCACACATACTACGTCACCATCTATACTGTCTAAAAGTCTCCCACACATACTATGTCACCATCTATACTGTCTAAAAGTCTCCCACACATACTACGTCACCATCTATACTGTCTCCCACACATACTACGTCACCATCTATACTGTCTCCCACACATACTATGTCACCATCTATACTGTCTAAAAGTCTCCCACACATACTACGTCACCATCTATACTGTCTCCCACACATACTACGTCACAATCTATACTGTCTAAAAGTCTCCCATACATACTACGTCACCATCTATACTGTCTAAAAGTCTCCCACACATACTACGTCACAATCTATACTGTCTAAAAGTCTCCCATACATACTACGTCACCATCTATACTGTCTAAAAGTCTCCCACACATACTACGTCACCATCTATACTGTCTAAAAGTCTCCCATACATACTACGTCACCATCTATACTGTCTAAAAGTCTCCCACACATACTACGTCACCATCTATACTGTCTAAAAGTCTCCCACACATACTACGTCACCATCTATAATGTCTAAAAGTCTCCCACACATACTACGTCACCATCTATACTGTCTAAAAGTCTCCCACACATACTACGTCACCATCTATACTGTCTCCCACACATACTACGTCACAATCTATACTGTCTAAAAGTCTCCCACACATACTACGTCACAATCTATACTGTCTAAAAGTCTCCCACACATACTACGTCACAATCTATATACTGTCTAAAAGTCTCCCACACATACTACGTCACCATCTATACTGTCTAAAAGTCTCCCACACATACTACGTCACCATCTATACTGTCTAAAAAGTCTCCCACACATACTACGTCACCATCTATACTGTCTAAAAGTCTCCCACACATACTACGTCACCATCTATACTGTCTAAAAGTCTCCCACACATACTACGTCACCATCTATTCTGTCTAAAAGTCTCCCATACATACTACGTCACCATCTATACTGTCTAAAAGTCTCCCACACACATACTACGTCACCATCTATACTGTCTAAAAGTCTCCCACACATACTACGTCACCATCTATACTGTCTAAAAGTCTCCCACACATACTACGTCACCATCTATACTGTCTAAAAGTCTCCCACACATACTACGTCACCATCTATACTGTCTAAAAGTCTCCCACACATACTACGTCACCATCTATAATGTCTAAAAGTCTCCCACACATACTACGTCACCATCTATACTGTCTAAAAGTCTCCCACACATACTACGTCACCATCTATACTGTCTCCCACACATACTACGTCACAATCTATACTGTCTAAAAGTCTCCCACACATACTACGTCACAATCTATACTGTCTAAAAGTCTCCCACACATACTACGTCACAATCTATACTGTCTAAAAGTCTCCCACACATACTACGTCACCATCTATACTGTCTAAAAGTCTCCCACACATACTACGTCACCATCTATACTGTCTAAAAGTCTCCCACACATACTACGTCACCATCTATACTGTCTAAAAGTCTCCCACACATACTACGTCACCATCTATACTGTCTAAAAGTCTCCCACACATACTACGTCACCATCTATTCTGTCTAAAAGTCTCCCATACATACTACGTCACCATCTATACTGTCTAAAAGTCTCCCACACATACTACGTCACCATCTATACTGTCTAAAAGTCTCCCACACATACTACGTCACCATCTATACTGTCTAAAAGTCTCCCACACATACTACGTCACCATCTATACTGTCTCCCACACATACTACGTCACCATCTATACTGTCTAAAAGTCTCCCACACATACTACGTCACCATCTATACTGTCTAAAAGTCTCCCACACATACTATGTCACCATCTATACTGTCTAAAAGTCTCCCACACATACTACGTCACCATCTATACTGTCTCCCACACATACTACGTCACCATCTATACTGTCTCCCACACATACTATGTCACCATCTATACTGTCTAAAAGTCTCCCACACATACTACGTCACCATCTATACTGTCTCCCACACATACTACGTCACAATCTATACTGTCTAAAAGTCTCCCATACATACTACGTCACCATCTATACTGTCTAAAAGTCTCCCACACATACTACGTCACCATCTATACTGTCTCCCACACATACTACGTCACAATCTATACTGTCTAAAAGTCTCCCACACATACTACGTCACCATCTATACTGTCTAAAAGTCTCCCACACATACTATGTCACCATCTATACTGTCTAAAAGTCTCCCACACATACTACGTCACCATCTATACTGTCTCCCACACATACTACGTCACAATCTATACTGTCTAAAAGTCTCCCATACATACTACGTCACCATCTATAATGTCTAAAAGTCTCCCACACATACTACTTAGCCATCTGTACTGTCTCAAAGTCTCCTACAATACTACTTAGATATCTAAACGGTCTCATTCTCCCACACATACTACTTAGCCATCTGTACTGTCTCAAAACTTCCCACACACTACTGGGGTATTGATACTAGGGCTGTACCGAATATTCGCTTCGTATTGGCTTCGGGGCCGAATAATGGACCTATTGACTATTCGGTATTCGGCCGAATAGTTGCGGTCGGGCTGAATACGAATAGTAGTTACCTTACACTCGCTTCTGCACACATGGCTTTAATGCTGACAACATGGAACGATTGGTTTTGTTGAAAGCTAATGCAGCTTTCGTGTATTAACTAAGCTGTCAGTGACAATTTTCAAGTTTCGTTACTTGTTATAAAACTTAGGATTCTTGCATTTCTAGTTATTAGTTACCACAGACTGACTGAAGGATGCAAAACATACAATGTTTTAAAATGTTTACTATTCTGTACTAGCTAGACATGAAAAGAATATAAACTCTGGCCACATCCAAGTCGATAATATGAAAATCAAACAAACGTAAACATATAAATACTTCGGGGTAAACTTCAACTGCTCCAACAGGCTGAAAGAAGAAATACAATCTAGAATACAATCTAGAAATAAAGTATACTATGCCCTTCAACATCTGCTAAAGTCAAAGTGTCTGTCTCGCAACACCAAGATCAAAATAAATAAAACGATAAGAACAGTCGTTTTATATGGTCTGAAACTCGAAGCAGACATAAAAGAGATGAGGCCTTGTTACAGGTTTTCGAAAACAGTTTTACGTCAAATCTTTGGACCCATCAAAGATGCTAACAGTGGGAAATGGAGAGTGAGAAGCAACAACGTAACACATAATCTGTTTAATTCACTATTGATCACTGGCATCATGAGAGCTAACAGACTAAAATGGTTGGGGCATATTGAAAGAATGTCTGGTGACAGAGAAGTAAAACTGTATACACCTGAGAGAGGAATGGGCGTAGACCATGAGGCATACAAAAAATAAGTTTGAGAGATAATGTCCAGTCAGACCTGCAAACAACTGGTGTCACAAATTGTGAAGATAAGGCCAGCCAGAGAGATGAATGGAGACGAGTGATATCTGCAGCAGTAAACCTCAAGAGCTCAGAATGCTAAAGAAGAAGATGACTATTCTGTGCTTCTTTATGTGAAGTAAAAGTTCAGCGTACATTTGACATTATGAATGTGTTTTTTTTAAAAATAGATATATTTTATACACTATACACTATTCGTATCCCGACGAATAGTTGGTCCTGTTATTCGTATTCGGCCGAATAGTGAAAATCACTATTCGGTACAGCCCTAATTGATACCACCTCAAAGTCTCCCATACATACTACTCCGCCATCTATACTGCCTTATAGTCTCCCACACACTACTGGAACATCTAAATAATCTCACTGTTTTCCACCCACACACTACCGGACCATTTATACCGCCCCACTTTCTCCCATAAAGACTTTTTGTTATCTATGCCATCTCACTCTTTCCCGCACACACACACACTACTGGGGCATCTATACTGTCTCACAGTTTCCCACACAGACTACATGCCATCTTTAGTGTCTCAAAGTCTCCTACAAAGACTATTTGTCATTTATACTGTCTCAGTGTTTCCCTCACACACTACTAGAGCATCTATGCTGTTTCAAGTCTCCACCACAGACTGCATAGTCATTTATACCTTCTCAGTGTGTTTCACACATACACACTCAAACATTCTGCCTGTCTGTGCTTAGCCCTCTGTGCCTAGAGAGATGTAAACTGTTCGAGCCTATGCTCTACTGGGAGTTGACACACAGAAGATAATAGGAGAATGTACATTTGAGCTTTTAAAGGATACATATTTTACATGTAAAATGTTTATAATCAAAAGCTTTTCAAATAAAACCACACAAGGACTTCATGGAATTGTGTTTATAGTAAACAAAAGAATAATTAACTATAACGATCTCCTTATGTTACCAGGTTTTAAGGCAAATGTTCAGACATCATCCTTGTACAATGACACTGGTTAATCAATCTGCCAAACAGGCACTCACTATTGTTTTAGCCAACGGTCTAACATTTGCAGCTGCCAAAAACTAAGCAGTCTCCAATGAACGTAAAATTGTGACAACAGAGATGAAATGCCTTAGAAGAGCTGCAGGAAAGACAGAATACGAAATCATGAAATCAGACGAATGCTAGGAATAAAGCCAGTCTTACAGGTCATCAAAGAACAACAAATGAAATGGTATAGACACCTAACAAGAATGCCCTGGTACTATCTGCCACAGCGAGCCACACTAAAACATTACAACGGATAAATAGCGAGTGGAAACCTCGGAAAAGATGGAGTTATGGCATTCATTAAGAACAACCTTACAGAAATGAACACCAGTCTTAATAGTGCTCTCGACAGAGCTCATCAACGAACATTACATCTCCCCCTGACACTTCACTGAGGTACAAGGTGGAAGAGAAGAAGGAGAAGAACAAGAACTAAGCATTTTTTCTTCTCTATCCAAAATCTCCACATTCCTCTCAGAAAAGGATATGGTAAATCTCCAACTTCCATGGTAATCACATGACTATCTTGAGCTTCCTTTGACTAGATATATAGAGTAACAAGACAAGAAAGTTTTGTATGTGTAATTCCTTGAAAAGGATGACTTTTTATGTTTCATTTTATGTAAGTTTGTAGTAATGCACCTGACAAGATACAACACATTATGCCAGGCAATAAATTGTGCAATGCATTTTTTTGTCTGTATTATTGACATTTACTGTGGGAGTACATTATTTTGAATTCTTCCAAAAACCCCATCTCTACTACCTTCAGCTTCTTCACCATTTCATCTCACGTAGTCTTACAGTCACATCCATACAACAAAATAAGCTATATAACCTTTCGGTTTAGTTTAGATAAGAATTGACATCACGGGTCTCAGGACATTCCCATTTGCACCCCATCATCATTTTCAGCAGTGAGGAAGAGTTCCAATTATATAGCAGTTTGATTTTATGTCCTTCTTGTCTTTCCTCTGAGTGCGGAGTGTCAGCCAGATCCTGTGGTCACACTCGGCCGCAACATTCTCTCCACACCGTAATGATTTATTCACCTTCCACATTGTTCAGTTGCTTCCAATGGGCTTTGACAACATCTAGCTTGTCGGGCATCAAGTCACTACCCAGCAGCCAGTCTGTTTGCTCATGCATGCCCTGGAGAAACTAACCAAAAGAGGCTAACCAGAGGACCTATGAAGCAATGCTTGAAGTTCTAAATGGAACATACTTCTCCCTATCTTTCTCAGCACACTTTATGAGTAACTTTTTCAGTAAACTGAACAGAACCCATAGATAACTCAAACATCTATCATGCCCATAGATAACTCAAACATCTATCATGTCCACAGATAACTCAAACATCTATCATGCCCATAGATAACTGAAACATCTATCATGCCCATAGATAACTCAAACATCTATCATGCCCATAGATAACTCAAACATCTATCATGCCCATAGATAACTCAAACATCTATCATGCCCATAGATCACTCAATCATCTATCATGCCCATAGATAACTCAAACATCTATCACGACATAGCTAAATCAAGTATTCACAGACAAAACATACAGCTGTTCTAGTCACTGATTTGATTTATTATCATAAAATGCCTTGCTGACTGGCATGGGCGATCACACCTCTCTACAATCTGCGCTCTGCAACTGCATGTATAAATTTGTGTGATGACACTCCTCCAAACCATGAAAAAAGCTGGAAAGAATCTTTTAGTGTGTCTTTCTGTGTCTCTCTTTTTAGAGATCTTTCCAGTGGTGACAACATGTTCAAGTTTCTCTGTTCTCATGACATGACCAAAAAGTCATGACTGTCACTTGATGTCTGTCATAAGTTGTCTTCGAGCCTCCACCTCTTTTAAAATAATTTGGTAGCTCTTTCTGGCTGTCCAAGGAATTCTAAGGATTCTTCTGTAAAGCCACATCTTACACTGGCTCTGATCTCTGGTCAGAATAACATTAGATAAATTATAAAATGATTATTTAATCACATACTAACGTACCAACAGATTATTCAGAAAGCTATCTGATAAATCACTGACTACAGCATTCTATATGATTGTTATGACTGCTATAATCACTGATTAAAGTGATAAATCATAACACCTTCCATGACCTTTGATTAGTGTAATCACAAGATTCAAAGCACTGTCTTGAAAGAGTATTATAATCACACAAGAAAAGAGCATCCAGAAAGGTATTGTATAATCCCTTAATGGAGTAAAATAATAATCCCTGGAGTTTCATTTATGATTCAGAAGTCCTGTCTAACAACAATAAAGTATCCGATGATTCAATAATAACTGCCATTGAATGCTCTTGAATAATCTATGACAAAAGTATCCTTGGATGATTCAGAAAAGTGTCTTGTTTTCACTGACAAAAATATCCCTGGATGTTTCAAAAAGATGTCCAGTCTTCATTGATTAAACTATCCTTAGATGATTTAGAAAGGTGCCTTGTATTCATTGACAAAAGTATCCTTAATGATTCAAAAAGATGTCCAGTCATCACTGATTAAAGTATCCCTGGATGATTCAGAAAGGTGACCTGTAATCACTGATAAAAGTATCCCTGGATGATTCAGAAAGATGCCCAGTCATCACTGATTAAAGTAGCCCTGGATGATTCAGAAAGGTGTCCGGTAATCACTGATAAAAGTATCCCTGGATGATTCAGAAAGATGCCCACTCATCATCGATTAAAGTATCCTTGGATGATTCAGAAAGGTGCCCACTCATCATCGATTAAAGTATCCTTGGATGATTCAGAAAGCTGCATTCACTGCCTGACAGCATCATCAGCCGAAGACACCTCGGATGCTTCATTCGAAGCCTGGTAATCACCACCCTGAAAAACATAAGAGAAGGAAATACAAACACTACTGAGTTTAGAAAGCATAGAAAGGTACTCATAAGTAAAGTAAAGGTCCCTTTTCCACGCCTTTAGGCGTAAAGGGCATATAGGGCTAGACCTATGTTTTTATAGACCAATCGGCACAAGATGGTTGATGTGGTCAGCATCACGCTGGCCACCTTCATTTTCTGGGGCTGCACTTGGTACCCACTCAAGGCATGGTCATCCTAGGACTCAAGGTCATTTTTGGATGTAAAAAAAGGTACTCATAGTAGACTAGCAATTCCAGTCTAAACAATAAGGGTTAATATATAAAACAATTACAATACAAATTACACACATGATCAAATTATTGAATTGTTCTATTTTGTTTGTGTTTACTGGCTGTTACTCTGGCAGACAGTTGTAGTTGTTCTTGACATTAGTCTTGTTCCAGAACTTGAGTTTTGCATGCACATCCATTTTACAGATTTGGCTTATATGTATGCAGACTGATGGTTCTTTGCCTCTCAAGTAGACATGCTTTGACTCTGAAAGAATCTCCTAATTAGTGGACTGTTACTACGTGCCTGTTAGGGAGGCAAAGGGTCTACTCTTGTTTCCTTAAAATGGGGCCTCAGAACCCATACAGGGGCGCTAAATGAAATGATTATATGATATTTAAAAAAGCACAAGTATACAACATCATCCTGTAGCAGGACCTTAGCACATTATCATCACGGTCTGCCTGAAACAAAAAATGGTCATTGGCCAGCTTTCCTGTCTCATGTAAAAGACCTGCTAGATGATGATGATAATGATTCAACTAGGCAGTTTTACGTGAAGTATTTTGCCATTGCTTTCTATACAGTCAACTCTCAATTACATCTTGTCTGCTACCATATTACCTGCAGCTGTGTTCCAACGGGGCACCTCTGTCAGAATTACAAAGTGCGTTCACAACTCCTATGCCACAGATGCCAAAACAATACATGTTAACTGGGGACTAAAAACAATAAAACATCCCTGCTAGGATCAAAACTTTGCTAATGTTAATCAAGTGTTCTTCTTATGCAAGTACATGTTAACAAGGTCTGACTCTATTTCTGTATTCCATAGAAAACACACACATACAGTGAACAGAGCATAAAAGTAGAAATTAAAAAAAAAAAATACTGACCATTTCAATTTTCTCATCCAACATTTTGAAAAACTCTAGCTGGCTCGTAGTGACACTGAAAGTAACAAAATGATTCAAACTGTTACAGAATTTGGTACTTCTTTTAATTAACCCTGAACAAACCTGGTAGCTATATTTCACACAGGTTAGAGTGAAGGTTAGGTTTAGGGTCTAGAGTTAAGGTTAGGTTTAAGGTATAAAGTTAAGGTTAGGTTTAGGGTCTAGAGTTAAGGTTAGGTTTAGGGTCTAGAGTTAAGGTTAGGTTTAAGGTATAAAGTTAAGGTTAGGTTTAGGGTCTAGAGTTAAAGTTAGGTTTAGGGTCTAGAGATAAACATATCAAGATTTCCCACCTTGGTTCATACTGTCAAGCGTTATCTTTGTGCACCACCTACGAGCGTACCAAGTGAACGTCTGTTTAGTACAACTGGAAATATCTTCAGTGAGACAAGAAGCTGACTTAATGCTGACAACATGGAACCATTTTTTTTAAAGCTAATGCCGCTTTCATGGATAAAGTAAGCTGTCAGTGACAATTTATAAGTTTAGTTACTTGTTATAAAACTAAGAATACTTTCATTCCTATGTATTAGTTACCACAGACTGATTGAAGGACGCAAAACATAACATGTTTTCAAATGTTTACTATTCTGTATTACATTTTGTGAAGTAAAATTTCAGCGTACATTTGACATTATGGATGTTTTCTTTTTAGATCAATTTTATACACGAAAGTGGAAGAATAGGCCTCAGTCTAAAGACAAAAGTAATGGTGGTATCAAAGAAAGTAATTATTCCTAAATGTGTAATAAAAGTCAATGGTTTTATTTTGGGACAAGTACAGAAATTTAAGTATCTGGGCACATGTATAACATCAGATGGAAGATGCTTAACTGAGATAAGAAACAGGATAGGACAGGTTATAACTGCATTTCATAAAATAAAGAACATCTTATGCAATATATCTTTGTCAGGTTAGAAAAAGAATTCTTGCTTGCTACATACATCCAGTTTTAACATATGGCTTTAAGTCCTGGACAATCGGTAGGCAGGCCAAACAATTTCTTGAGGCCTGAGACATGTGGTTTTACAGAACAATGCTTAAAATACCTTGGACAGCAAAAAAAAAAAAAAAAAAAAAAAGCAACCAAGAGGTTTTGACAGAGGCGGGAGCCCGAAGACAACTACTCACAGACATCAGAAGGAGACAGTCATCATTTTTCGGCCATGTTATAAGATGAGGGAAAATGGAACATGTGGTGACCACTGGAAAGATCTGTGGAAGGAGGGATAGAGGAAGACAACGAGAGAAGATTCTGGACAGTCTTGTTGCATGGCATGGAGGTGTGTCAGCACACGAACTAATACATGCTGCAGGAGATCGCAGATTGTAAAGAGGCATAATCGCCCATGCCAGTCGGCAAAGCACCTGATGATGATGATTCACTATTCGTATTCGTATTCGGCCGAATAGTTAGTCCAGCTATTCGTATTTGGCCGAATAGTGAAAATCACTATTCGGTACAGCCCTAATAAAAATATATATTTTGTTTTAATATCCAGAAACCAAGAGTTGTTAACCCTTTGGCTCGGTATTATGGATATCGTAACCATTCGGCCTTGATTACATGATAAGTACTGTAAAACTGGGAGAAATTGGACTTTTCTGTCTACCCCCGGGAGTGAAACCGGACCACAAGGAGTTCGTCACCCGGTCACCGTGATGTCAAGTTTAACCAACTACGCTAGAGAGCCGGGCCTATAAAAATATAAATCTAGCCCTAAATGACAATATGCTTAAAGGCATGTAAAAGGGTTCTTTGACTTTACTTTCTCCCAGAAAATTTCTTTGGTACCCATCTAAAGACTTTGTAGCCAAAGAGGCATAGCATCTGCCTAGGTCTGAATCTGTGTTGAGCTGGATTTATGTTAAAAAAAATAATGACTGGCTCCCAGGTCGACCTAGCATAAAATGGGTACTAGGAAAATTCATGGCAAGTAAAGAGGACTGGCGTGATGCTGACCCCATTACCTACAGAGGTCTATGAAAATATGCGGCTAGCATCATATGCCAGATGGGAGATACAAAGGGTGGGGGGGGGGGAGGTTAAAAGACCTTTACTGACCTATTTCTGACTTGGCAAACCCGAGAAACAAGGCAATGGTCTGCTAATTGTCTGAGGTGTTGTTATGGAGGCATATATTCAGTAGAACTGATCCAGCACACAAACGACTGAGACTGGTGGTGAATACCTACCTAATCTAACAAGGAATATGATGATGATGATGGCGATGATGATAAAGACGATGATGATGATGGTAAAGATGATGATGATGATGGCAAAGATGATGGCGATGATGATAAAGACGATGATGATGATGGCAAAGATGATGATGATGATGGCAAAGATGATGGCGATGATGATGATGATGATGATGATGATGATGACAAAGATTATGAAGACGATGATGATGATGGCAAAGATAATGATGATGATGGCAAAGATGATAGCGATGATGATGATGACGATGATGATGAAGACGATGATGATGATGATGATGGCGAAGATGGTGAAGACGATGATGATGATGATGAAGATGATGAAGACAATGATGATGATGATGATGATGACGATGATGATGATGGCGAAGATGATGAAGACGATGATGATGATGGCGAAGATGATGAAGACGATGATGATGATGGCAAAGATGATGAAAACGATGATGATGAAGACGATGATGATGATGATGATGAAGACGATGATGATGATGATGATGAAGACGATGATGATGAAGACGATGATGATGATGATGATGATGATGAAGACGATGATGATGATGGCGAAGGTGATGAAGACGATGATGATGATGGCGAAGATATTGAAGACGATGATGATGATGGCGAAGATATTGAAGACGAAGATGATGATGGCGAAGATATTGAAGACGATGATGATGATGACGATGATGGCAAAGATGATGAAGACGATGATGATGATGAGTCAGTTTCGGATATCCTTGAGTGGAAGTTATCTTATATTCTTATCAACGCTGTGATATCAGTGTCAAACTTGGATACGATATTTAGAGAACAAGAAAAAAAAAAAATAGTCATGACAGAAATGAAATGGACGGAAATGAAATGTTTACGTATCGTTCTATGTATGACAAGGACAGTTCGTCTTGGGAACGATGCTATCAAGAAGAGAGTGGAACACAAACCATCACTGAACTTTAACGGTAGACATCAGATTAAATGGTTTGGCCAGGTAAGAAGATTGACAACATAAAGAGCACACAAGAAAGCAATGTTGTACCACGACCTTGCTTTGGCTGAATAGACAAAGCATTGTCTGTTCTCCAAGCACTATCAAGCAAAAAACAAGACAAACTAATTGCAGATCTAAGGACCAACATTGGCTTACTCCCCAAGGAAGCAGAACTGGTCTTGTAGTGGATACCAGACCACTGTGGTATTCAAGGAAATGAGAGAGCAGATGAGTTGGCAAAAGCTGGGAGTAATCTTCCACAACACAACCTTATCCACCACACAGCTACAAGGAAACCAAAACAGCGCTAAAGCAGTCTTTTAAGCGGGAGTTGAGAAGGCAGAATGGAGATTACAGCATAAACAAACTCAACAGGAAAGAACAAACATCAATTTTTAGACTTCGGACTGGACACTGTGGTCTTCGAGCACACTTGTACAGGATAGGCATAAAAGAATCTGCTGCCTGTGGTTGTGGAGCAGAAAGACAGACCCCTGAGCACATACTACAGTACTGCCCTTACCTCTCCCAGCAAAGACTGTGGATCTGGCCCAAAGGAGCCACATTGCAAGAGAAGCTATGGGGGATGGCGGCGACCTTAAACGCACAATCCTATTTGTGACCCAGACGGGACTCAATGTTTAGCATGACTGATATCGAACGCAGAAGAAGAAGAAGAAAAAGAAGGACAAAGCAGTGGTTGTACAGATACAGCTGTAGCAGATGTCAACCACGCAGATCATGGACCGCTGAAACATGAGGGGGGGGGGGGGGCAATGAGAAGTGCTACACACGAAAGCAAACAAAATGGTCCGTTTCAAACATCTTTTACTGCCCTGACGCTGCGAGGGATTCCAAAAGTAGAAAAAAGAAGTTGGTGACGATAATGATGATGACGATGATGATGATGACGATGAAGCAGATGGTGATGGCGATTGCTGATAAGTATGATGATGATGCCCATGATGATGACGATGATGATTGATGATAATGATGATGACGGCGACGATGATGATGACACAAATGATGATGATGAAGACTGATGATAATGATGATGATAATGATTAATGATGGTTATTATTATGATGACGACGACGATGATGATAAAAACGACGATGACGCCATCACATTGAGGCTCCATTGTAAGACCATACTCACTGAACTGTTCTGGTCGATGTTGATGATTTCACATCTTTATTTGTGACCTTTGATGAGGAATCCTGCAAATTAAAAAAATGCGAGATAATCTCCGAAATGACAAACAAGGATTGGCCTTTCTCATCTAACTGTATAAAGCTAGCTAACCCTGAATATAGCCAGAGCATAGATATAACCTAGTCATAAGTAAAGTAAGTAAAGATCCTTTATTATGCCTCAGGCGCATCGGGTATATGGGCAGAGCGTCCCATATTTTTACAGACCAATTGGCACTCGGTGGGTAATATGGTCAGCATTACGCCGGCCGTCTTTACTTTCCCAGGACAGCCATCCTGTACCCATTTGAGGCTGGGTCGACCTGCGACGTCCCATACCAAGATAAAAATCCAAGCAGCCCGCAGTGGATTTCGATCGCGGTACGTTGGATTACGAGTCGGACTCGCAACGCCTTAGCAACGGACGCCGCTAACCTAGCCATAGATATGGCCTAACGGCTGAAAGGTTGTTTTTTGGGGAGCTCTCCACTGATGATCGTCATCCGCATGGTGGCACTTGGTGTCACCGGGTGTTTATCGCTTGTATGATGTCCCAGTGGAGTACAACTACCTACATTTCTTATGAACGTCCAAACCAGTTAGAGAAACTCCATGATTTTCAATCAACATAGTGAAAACTCCCATTTCGTGATGACTAAACTAAAGCACAGAGTCCTTTTTGAACACACCCTCGGGCGTTTTGGGGATATAGGACCAGACCTATATTTATTAGACCATTCGCCAATTGGTCAACATCACGCAGGCAGCCTTTACTTTCCAGCTCTCTACCTGGTACCCATTTAAGGCTAGGTCGACCTGGGAGTCAAGACTGAACTTCGGATCCGTAGGCGAGTGGTTATCCGCCAAACCACAGCGATTCCCAACGCTGAGAAAAGCAAGGTTAAAAAGATCTTAAAATTAAGTTACAGTTGAGTAGTTATTTTTAAGTTATATTCGGTTAATCTAGACTCAAGTTACAGTTAAGTTATAGTTAAGATATAGTTAAGTGTTGGTTTATTTAATTCAAGTTGCAGTTACGTTACAGTTTACATTAAAAAGATCTTAAAGTTAAGTTATAGTTAAGTTAAAGTTCAGATAATTGATTTCATTACATCGGGTTTTATCTGATATTGCTCGGTCTCTCATAGCAGAAAGGCTAGCCTTCTGATGAGAGCGTCACTTGAAGCATGCACCCCGTAGCTCCAGTAACGTTCTACTTGGATCCCCATATAAAGATTGCACTCCAGAGCCGAAGGACGCCGCCAGGTAAGGAATCCACGACCGCCAGAGTGCGAGGCCAATGGCTTGACCACTTTGCTACCATAGACTCCCACCTATACAAACCCCTTTCCGCTAATTACAATTGTGTGTGGTAAAGAAAAAGGCGGGAAAAATGGGGGGGGGGGGGGGGGGGGGGTTGTCTATATTGAACCTGCTGCGAACAGCTGTGGTTGCGAGCAGCGTTCGGTTATATGTGAGGTCTGGTTTATTTACCGCAAATTTATTGTCGGAGACCCCTAGTTCTCTTCCACCCGACTCCAACTGGCTGGCGGGTCTGTCTCCTTTGATCCCATCAACACTGCGTGAGTCCTTCTCAGGGCTCTTGGTGGCGTTCAATGCTAAGCCATTTTATATTTGCACACATAAGCTGGTCACAATTATAACCTGAAGCTCCCTCCCTGCTGGTTAAAGGTAACCCCCCCCCCTCCCCCAGCAAACACCCACCTAGATGTGGCTGATACCTCCCACCCCACACCCCAATGTTAAACTCAAACTCAAGCCCAGCCAGTAATAAACTCACACTCAAGCCCACCCAGTAATAAACTCACACTCAAGCCCACCCAGTAATACACTCACACTCAAGCCCACCCAGTAATACACTCACACTTAAGCCCACCCAGTAATACACTCACACTCAAGCCCACCCAGTAATAAACTCACACTCAAGCCCACCCAGTAATAAACTCACACTCAAGCCCACCCAGTAAAACACTCACACTCAAGCCCAGCCAGTAATAAACTCACACTCAAGCCCACCCAGTAATACACTCACACTCAAGCCCACCCAGTAATACACTCACACTCAAGCCCACCCAGTAATACACTCACACCCAAGCCCACCCAGTAATACACTCACTCTCAAGCCCACCCAGTAATACACTCACACCCAAGCCCACCCAGTAATAAACTCACACTCAAGCCCACCCAGTAATAAACTCACACTCAAGCCCACCCAGTAATAAACTCACTCTCAAGCCCACCCAGTAATACACTCACACCCAAGCCTACCCAGTAATAAACTCACACTCAAGCCCACCCAGTAATAAACTCACACTCAAGCCCACCCAGTAATGAACTCACACTCAAGCCCACTTACCGCTTTGTAAACATCATGCGGCACTTCCAGCAGATAATAACTGCCTTGAGGTTTTGTAGCACCATTAGCTTTATCGCCAAGGGCTCCTGCAGACGACGAGGCAGCAGCCCGATTGCCCGATGATGATGAGGATGATGACTGTGAAGATATACCTAACGAGTTGCCCGGGTCTTTATTTTTGTCTTTAGACCTTGTCTTGCCATTAGATGTCTTTTTGGCTGAAGAAGGTCTGTCTGAGAGAAAAAAGGAAACCAACGGCTAGTTAACTCTTTTAACGCACCGTGCATTTATTAGTTGCTTTGTATATGATTTAGACAATGGCGTGGAGTGCTGACCGTTTAGAGGCGATGGCAAACTTCTTATTATCTTGCTTCCGCTGTTTATTCCTCATTGGAACACAGGGCCTAGTCAACTCACGCCAAGTCGGCTTTTCTGTTGCGGCCTCAATTCTTTGTTAACACTGCTCTTGAACTTTCAGTGCTAGAATTGGCATTATCAGCCACCTGGACACTCACGACACTTAATCCAGTCACCATTGGTTGAAAGGACTGGTTATCATCACTTGTGATGGACCAACCACAACAACAATATATGTTGCTATGACACGTGCAGACCGCCACGTCTTCCTTATCTGTTTTAACTTCACTTTCTATCTTCCTTCTCCGTGCCTTTTTTTTCCTATTTCTATACCACTGTGGGTTCCAGTGCATGGTGCAAATACATTCTAGTGATATAGTTCTCACGTTTTCTAATTGTGTGTCCTGTCCACAGCCAGCGTCTCTACTTCACCTCTTGATTCTCTGGAATTTATATAGCTCTCTTCAAAGCCCAAGCGAATCTATCAATTGTAAATTGCCTAGAATAAATCACAGCCAGACACAACATGCTGGAATTGATATTGAATAGTTTGGGTTCCAGGGTCCTATTCTGGGAAAAATATTCTATTTATCCCGCCTCACAAGCATGTCGTAAAAGGCGACTAACTAGGGGTGTCAGACATCTTTTTTTTCTGTGTTCCCCAATTAAATGGCGGTAGGCACGCTGTGTTGTGGCTGCTATTTCTGCGCTTTCGCGCGAAAAGCGTTGCATTTTAGCGAACCCCTACTTAGTTGCCTTTTAAGACATGCTCTTAGGGACAGGTAAGTCGGTTGCCAGTCTTCCCCCCACCCACCCACCCCTAAACGGGACCTCAGAATCCACCCGGTGAATAAGTTCTTCTGAAGAAATAAATAATCTCAACATTACTTTAACAATCGTGACCAAAATCTCCCCAACTAGACTAGAAAACAGCAGTTTCTGGAGCCAGAATATGGCCACATACAAGCTTGTGGGATTTACGTTTATAGTCTTTACTACTAAGTCGATGCGAACGCTTCGTAATGCCGGGATGCCGGGTTCGATTCCAGCTGCGGAAGATGCGCCTTGCGTTGGTTTTGACAGTTGTATCAAGAAAGCCGACCGTCCAGGAAGCAATGGCAAACTACTGGACGTAAATTTGCCTAGAAAAAACCACACAACAGCCAGGGGCTGTTGAAGTTGGTTCTGCAACGTCCTGTAAAGGATACGCAACTGACCTAGTCTTTACCAACTAAAATAATGCAACAATTAAACCGAATAAGTTAAAGTATCACTTAGTATATATAGCATTCCTTTCACCAGTTAGCTGATCTTCTACAGAACGTCGCTCTCGTCACAGCACGCACGGAGTTCTCGCTTTCTTTGGCCAGTTCTTTAACCCAGTGTGCTTCCATAGCTAATGCATCTTCAATATGTTGTGTCCACGTTTTCTGAGGTCGACCCCTGTGGTTGAAACTAACCCTCCGTCACCGTTCCCTCTAGGCCAACACGACTTTTAACATAGCCAAAAATACCTCAGTTGTAGGGGCAAGATGCTGTTTATGAGCCAGTTCTCTCTCCTCTATGCTCAGATCATGATTGTAGAAGGTCGGTGTTTTTCTTCTTGGTTCACGGTATTTTAAGACATTTTTCTGTGGCATTTCCTTTCAAAATCTCGGATGTTTACCTTTCGTTGATTGAGCAAGTGTCTGTGACTCGCATCCATAAGTTGCCACGGAAAAGATGCATGATGTCAAAATTGTTACTGCAACAAGTTTGCAGGTGCTGTGCCATGGATTCTTAATGCTGTTTAGTCCCTGTTGGTATCCTTTACAGGACGTTGTAGAACCAATCCCAGCTTTTTTGGCTGTTGTGGTTTTTCTGTGCAAATTTACGTCCAGTAGTTTGCCATTGCTTACTGGAGGTCGGTTTCTCGATGCCACTGTTGAAACCAAAGCATGGCGCAAGGCTCGCAGCTGGGATCGAACCTGGCACCCCGGCATTACAAAGCTCGTTCGAGGCGTGTGAGTAGAGATTTCAAGGTTAAATGACTCTTTACAACACTAGGGGTCGACCTATATGACGGGTATACAATTCGCCAGGTAGGTGTAACCTAACTCGGAATTTTGAGGTAAATATTTGTTGAGTGACTTATATAGAAGGTCGACTTCTACACCAGGTCGGGGGTGCATCGTGTCGACTTGTACACCACACTCTTTGTTTTTATTTTTCTCCAAAGACTTGAGTCTTGCGTACATATCCGTTTTACAGATCTTGGCTTATGTGCGAAGAAACTGTTGGCTCCGCGCCTTTCAAGCAGTCACACCCTGTCTTCGAAACAAACACCGATCTTTTCTCCATCGGTAAGGCCCCCTCTAGGGAACCTGTTTACAGGTTGATTGCGGACAGCTGTAAATAGATATTTGATCGCACAAGCCCATGTTCTCATGCATATCCCGTGTGGTTCGGCACAGGGCTGTCAAAGCTGGTGCTTTCGTACACACTTTGTACATTTGACCCTTGCCGAAGTTGATACTTTCTTACAAATTTTGTACATTTGACCCTTGCCGAAGTTGATACTTTCTTACAAATTTTGTACATTTGGCCCTTTCTGAGCAAAGGTTTTTTTGTTTTGTTTTGGGAATGACGTCGAATGTTTTGTTGTGTTTTTCTAGAAATTTTGCATCGTTTTTTTCCCCCAATGTTGACATTGTACGCAGGATCTGGTAAGTGATACTGAAGGAAGACCTACGTCATTTATATAACTGGTCTTGTAACCTCCCAGCCTTGTTAAAGAACAATAAAATAAAGAATGGAGGAAATTAATCGTGTAATATCAACCAATTTCGGTTTACAACGTCATTAGAAAAATGTTGAGATGAAAATTGGTTTCCACGACTGTCAACTTTGATGCTTAGTCTTTAACAGTACTTCATTCACAGCAAGAATTTTCTCCTTCTTCTTTGTTCACCGTCTGTAAGCTCCAGCGTAAAATCCTGGTTGTTCGTCCGTTTGGACTGTGGCTTTTTGAAAGTGTCTGAGTTTTGCGTGTACACCCGTTTTACTGGCTAATTTTAGTGCAGCAGGTTGTTCCTTGCCGCTCGGGCAGATGCACTCCGTCTTCGAAGAAAGCTTCTAGTTAGTCGACTTCTACGACATGCTTGTATGGGAGACTGTGGGTCTTTTCTTGGATTCCCCACAATGGGGCCCAGGAACCCACACAGGGAAAAATAATGTTCTATTTGTTCAACAATATTAAACACTCGCCTGCGGATCGGAAGGTCGTGGGTTCAGTTCCTTGCTGAGCCGGTCTTTTTTCAAAAATGACCTTGGCTCCCAGGTCGACCCAGCCCTGAGGAGGTACTAGGTACAGACCTGGGGAGCAAAGGCGGCCGGCGTGATACCACATCATCCATCAAGTACAGATTGGAAATATAGACCTGGCCCTATACGCATAAAGGCGGGGAAAGGATCGTTTACTGTTACCGTATATATATATATATATATATATATATATATATATATATATATATATATATATATATATATATATATATATATATATATATATATATAATATGACGTGTGTCTGTTTTAAAAACGTGTTTACTATTTTGTTTTTTAATTTACAAATTCAGTGCCTTTTGGTGTGTTTGGGCACCTTTTAAAAAACATTCGGTGCTATTCCCGAAACAAATTACCGGCAGCCTGGTTCAGCATATCTGCACTCAAAAGATGATTGCCACCTTCGTGTTTCTAACCACCCTTGGTATTTTCTGCACTTTCTTCATATCGCATACCCATTAGATACCGCAACAGATATTTGTGATGCTTTTCTCCCAGTTTGTCTGCCTTATTTCCTTGACAACAGCCAAATGTGTTTGTGTGTGTGTGTGTATATTATATTTTTGGTTTTTACCTATGAAACCATGACAGCTAGATAGAGATTAAAATTAAAAATACCCCACTGAAGCCCGCAGGTCGATTCTAACTGGTGATTTTAACATTTTAATGGCAGATATCACGATAGACAAATTATATTGGAAATGGACAGAACATGGATTCCGAGCTGCGACCCAGAAAGATGAAATGACTCAATGTTTGCATTTTATGGCAATAACTATTTTGTTTATGAACGAATCCCGTAGCTACCATATATTGCTGGAATCAGGTCACATAAAACCCGCTTATTTCTTTCAGTAAACTTGACTGGAGTTCTGAAAGACTGTCGTAACGCTCATTATCTATTCAATTGTAAAGATGTGACTTAGACATCAGTCAAGCAGTCTAGAGGTCGACCACGAAAACGATGGAACAGACAGATTATCTGTGGCTGTAAATACCAGTATATTTGTAGCACATACCGAGACGCGCATCCGATGCCTCTTCAAAACCTGGCGCTGAAAGACAGAACAAGAGAAGAAGTCGAAGACCTTCAAACAGAGACACAAGATGACACACGATGACACGAGATGATACACGATGACACACGACAACAGAAGTTGATACACGATTACCCACGATGATACACGATGACACACGATGACACACGATAACACAAGTTGATACACGACGATACACGATGACCCACGATGACACACGATGACAAAAGATGACACACGATGACAAAAGATGATACACGATGACACACGATGACTCACGATTATATACGATGACACACGATGACACACGATGATTCACGATGACTCACGATTATAAACGATGACACACGATGATTCACGATGATTCACGATGACTCACGATTATATACGATGATACATGATGATTCACGATTATATACGATGACACACGATGAGCCACGACGATACACGATGACTCACGATAACAAACGAGACCCACGATGATACACGATGACTCACGATGACAAGCGAGACCC